TTAATGTTTATTTTTAACAGACTGTTAATAAACAAAAAGCCTGTGAGTCAGCATATGTAAATCTGGATTCAAAATCTAATGCCATATTTTCAAGGGCATGTATACCTTGGATGACAAAATGTTTTCTTTTCAGGTATGGTTATTCTCTTGTTCAGCCCACTCTCTTCTGCAGCTCAGGGCCAAAGTGACACACACAAGCAGACACTCACCTTCAAGCCGTTGATGGTGTACAGTCCTGACCCAAGTTCCTCACTTCCAGACCTCCAGCCACGGCACTGCTCCCTTTCCTAAGGTTTGGATTTCCTCAGACTTAACCTCTTCTCTTTGCTCAGGAACTTGGGGTCATTCTTACCCAATCCCAGCAACCAGGGCCAGGAAACCCAATTAGACTGAAAAGCCTACAGAGGAAGAAGGCCTCCGGGTCCCATCGCTTCCCAGCGACAAGCAGGATACTTACTCTATCCCTCCAGTTACCAGGTTAGAAAGTAGAGAGCTAGACTTTGGCCCTCCTATCTCCACACCCTTCAGAACTGGAAAAGAAGTGTTCTTAGCACTATGACTGCCTGCCCAAAGACACCACTCTGTGTACCAAGCAGCAGCAAAGGGGTATCCCCCACACAGTTATTTCCCAACTCTCACTACCCCACGTGCTGCACTATGGATATCCCAAAGGATTTCACAGCATCCCAGAGATGGATTCCCAGGTCTCTCCATCAGAAGAGTGGTTTGACTTCCTTCTTAGCACAGGTCTGGAACCCTAAAAGGTACTAAGTAAATACCTGTCAATTTTCTGCTCCGACCCATCTAGGCACTTGAACTAGAAGTGAGGCAGTGAACCCCCAGAGCCTTCAGACCTTATACCTCAAGTCTGAGAAACTCCTACATACCACACTCACTTTCCCTATCACTGTCCCCAAACTCTGAAATGAAGGGGACAGTTCTGTCCTCCATCCCACCCAGACCAATCCAAGGCCTTCCACTGGCTCTCTCCCGGTTCATGTTGGAAACTCCCTTGCCCAAATTATTCTGAAGTAGACCCTGGGCCCAAGTCTTCTGTCAAGCCATAACCGAAGAGCTATTCAAGTTCTGGGCAGATATGGTTGCTATTTGTCCTAAGAGCTAGATGCTGAACATTTATCTTCCAGGTTAAGTCTCTCCCTCATCCCACCATGTGCCCTCAAAAGAAGCTGGAAAGTTTAAGTGAACTGCCACAAGAGGGCTCCCCCCACCTCCTTCCTGGCACCTTAAATGGGAGTACTGAGAGACAAAAGGGACTAGGGCATCATCTTCAGGGGTCAAAAGACACCCACTGACCTGCCATCCGGCTAAAGTCCTCTCCATTACCATTATCTTATGAGGGGCTATAGTACTAGAAGGAATATGCTTACTAATGTATAAATAAAGCACTTGGGAAAGGTGCTCTTACCAGTAACCTTGGTCACCAAGCAGGACTTTTGAGGAGCACAGAGGTAACTGAACACAAATGATTTCTTTCACACTGGTACTTGGGGCTCTCCAACTTACTGTATGCCTAAATCCTGTCCCTTCCCACAACATCAAGATGGGAAGGTCTCTGTCCCCAAAGCTTAAGAAAGTGGTGAGAGTGGGGAAGGCCTCCCTAGCTCATCAAGACCTCACCCACTAAAGGAAGGGGAGCACCATCTTTTTCTTTTCCTGGGGCCAGACAGTAGTAGCAGGAGAGGAAGAACGTAGGGGCAGGAGCAGGCTGGGAGGGCGAAGGCTTGTCCTTTCCCTCAGGACACTGTGGAATCTCTGGATGAGGCTTGGCATCCTGACAATGGGGAACCACATGCCTGAAGCAGAGGTGATACAGGGCCATAGCTGTAAGGAGGATCAAGTTCATTACACCATCCAGACCTTTACCCTTCGTGTTTTACCACTGCCAAAGTCCAGAACTAGATGGGTGAGGGGACTCCAACCTATGGATGAGGGGACCCTGTTCCAACCGGAAGCACCTGATTACACAGGGCTGGGGAGATCTGAGAGTGGAGGCAGGGTGGGTCACTCCAAGTTCAGGACCCTCTAGCCAGTGAAGTCCCTAATGTCTACCAACAGGTGATAAACAAGGCTAAGAACAGGATGAAATCCTTTACAACTAAAAGAGCAAAGTCACGAAGCCCTCGCATTCTGGTGCCCAATTCATTTAGGCTCCCCTCCAGAGTATGATGGAAAGTAGTAAGCAGTGTAGAAATAAGCCTAAGTTCCTCCATAACCTCACTCTCCCCCTGTCAAGTGTACCCTTTACCCCTCTGCTGAGAGAAGGAGCAGTCTAGAGAGAGGGACCAGAGACAGAAGTACCCTCACCATTTAAATATTGTCCCATGCTGCTGCACATCAAGGATGAAGGTCTGCTCCAAAGCTGCATAAAACAAGTTTAATTTCCAACCAGGGTCACAGTCATCGCGTATCCCACATTTTGGGCAAGGAGAGAGAAGGTGAGTTATTAAACATATACAGTCTACATTCCAGAGGAGAAAAAAAGAAGAGAAAAACCAGAACTGCAGTTACTACCGTAACACCACAAAACAAACTTTGTGGGGGGTGGGGGACGCAGAGGGGAATCTCTAGGGGAAAAAAAAGGCTGTAACAAAGGAAAGCATAAAATTAAATCTACCAGAGGAGAGTGTGGGAGGGAACAGGCAAAAATGGAATGAGAAACCCAATCCAGAAAGAGCTTTTAGGAGAATGGGAATGTAGAAAGGACCACCCACCCCTGCCAAGGGCCTAGCAACCAGGGATACTACCAAGATTACTTACTGCCCCCTGCTGGATGGATCCTTGAGCAGCACCAAGGCAACCTCCAAGGCTGCTTCCTAACACCCTCAGGCCCACTGGTCTCTGGAGCCCCCCAAAAACAAGGTAGGGGTGGGCCTTAAATAAGAAAAACCTAATTGGGACTGCCATCTAACTAGGGAGGGTCAGACTGGGAGGCAGAAGAAGAGGTAAAATCCTCAGCTACTGCAAAGACCAAGAGTGGGGAATCCTAAATAGGAACGAAACAAGGAAAGGGGAGACAGGCAACAGCAGTGAATGAGTTGAGAAGGCAAAGGCAACAGTTCAGGAGGGGAGAGGCAACAGGGGCAGGAGCAAAAAAATGAGGAAACAGAGGCAGAGGCAAAGGAAAGGGGTGGAGGGAAGCATCCGTGCGGTCAGGAGAGTGAATACATGTTAAAATGAACTAGAAGCTCCAGCATACCTCTCCCCTCAACCCTGCCACCAAATACACACACACACACACACACACACACACACACACACACACACACACA